TAGATGTGTATAAGAGACAGCACAAAACCTCTGAGAAAGAGGAAGGCAGGGAGAGGGAGGGGGGGAGGGAAGGAGGGATTTGGACCATTTTTCGATTCATGCGTGTCATCCTCGTGAAGAGGCAATGCTAATGCTAATCTTCTCTGTATCGTACTTAGAATCAAAATTTGAAACCATTCCTTATCTCATATCTGAACGAAATAATCGACTTTTTCCAGGTCAGCTTCAGCTTCCGAGCTAGCATGTGATTCTGCCATTCGTTGAGCAACTCAGGCAGGGTTATTGGTAATATCGTTAAAAAGCAAAAAGGGGGAGCACAACTGTAAAAATTGCTAACGCGGCAATGCCTTTCCATCATGCAATACATTGTCACCGTCTGGAAACCTGAGTGTTTAACATCATAACAACAGCGCTGCGGTATTCACAGTGAAGAAAAATCGAACCTGAAAAATTATTTACCGGACCCTACTTCTGGACTCTGACAAATTTATGACAGTACACCTGCTGCTGTCAAGGCCGCCAACGTCAAACAGTGACATAACAGAAGAGGGAGATGGGTGTGCACGGGGATTCATGAATCACAACCCACTCAGGGCAAACAAAAAAAAAAGAAAAAAAGATACGTTTGCTTGATCGCTACGGCACACATGCAAATCTCTCTCTCTCTCTCTCTCTCTCTCTCTCTCTCTCTCTCTCTCTCTCTCTCTCTCTCTCTCTCTCTCTCTTGCGTGCGCGCGTGCTCTTCACCCCTCTCCCTGCTCCCTTGGCTGTTCTCCTCTCCCCCTGGTTCTTCCCCCTCTGCAGCTTCTTCGTCCCATACAAGCGGATATGTGGACCAGAAAGCTTGCCTGAATGCATCAGCAAAGGTTTGTGATTCTTCAAACCTCCCAGCTGTGGCTCCCCCTCCTTCGTAGGGTGTCATCCTCTGCTTCTAGCCTTCTGGTATGGCTGCTGTGGAGGTGGTGGCATTGCTCCTCCGGCCTTTCGGATCAACTTCAGCACTTATGCCAGGCAAACTGCAGCAAAACAGATTCCAGAACGTGTGCTGACTGGGAACGGCCTCGGCGTCTATACTGCCGACTGCTTGACAGTGTCGACGTCTATACTTCTGACTGCTTAACAGCCTCGGTGTCTATACTGCTGACTGCTTCACAGCCTCGGCATCTATACTGCTAACCGGCCGGGGCTGCATGGGCAGATGCATTTGCCTTCAGTGGTTTCAGATTTGGTCATGCCTCTGCTACCTCCTGGGTCTGAAAAGTCCTGGGCAAGTTACAGGACCGGGCTTCGTCATATCTAGATGGTATTGTCTATATCTAGATGGAACTGCCGTTGAACAAAGAGGCACAATGACTGCACACTTTGGGCTGGTGATGACCAGCGATAGAGACCTCAAAGAAGTGACAGAGGCTAAGGGCTAACTGTACATCTTCTCTATGTTTTGCTGACGTCCTTCGGCTCTGCCCAAGATCAGCTTTTTGAGAAATGTTGTTGTCATCATTTCCAGACCCTTCCATGCCAGCCCTTTTGAAGTTTTGATACCTTTCTCGGCCTTTTGGCTAAAGATCAATTTCGGTATCTGTTCTGATCAGTTTAATATCTGATCTCAAAAAAGAAAACGCATGCCAGCTTTTGTCTAGTTGCATGGTCAGCGCCCCTGGAAGGTGTGCAGATCCTTGCTTTCCTCTTTCCATAGCCACGTGATTGGCATCATCATCATCATCATCATCATCATCAGCAGCAGCAGCAGCAGCGGCAGCGGCAGTGTCATTATCGAAAGATTCAACATCATCTTCGACTGTATTTCTACATCTCCCCAGGCTGACTTTGTGCTTGTGTGTCTCCTCAGCGGCCCTAGAGAGTGGGTGAATCCTTGTGTTCTTCCTTCCATAGCTACGTAATTGACATCACCCCGCCATCATCATCACCACAATCAGTGGCAGAAGCAGTGTCGTTACCAAAGAGTGGACATCATTCTGGCTTCAGTTACAAACTTGTTGGCGCTGCCTTTCGGACAGACGTCTGCTCAGCAATTCTGCAGGCTGAACAAATCCTTGCATTCTTCTTTCAATGCCCACAGGATTGGCACCAGCATCATGATTATGATGATGATGATCATCATCATCATCAGCAGCAGCAGCAGCAGCATGATCGAAGGCTCAACATTATCTTTGTCTGACTCGTCATCATCATCATCATCATCATCATCATCATCATCATCATCATCATCATCATCATCGCCATCATCATAATCGCCATCATCGTCGTCATCATGAGTATCATCAGGGTCATCATCACTATCACCAGTCCGGCGACAAACACTCTTTGTCCTCCCCAAGCCACCCCTTCATCATCCCTCATCATTCTGTTATTTCTGCTATCCCACAGTTGCAGCCGTAAGCTTGCTTCATCGCCATCATCATCATCCTCTTCCTCGTTGTAACCTCCAGAGGGCCATTCAAGACCGTCACATACAATCTAGCACACGACATCCATCATATGGAGCTAGATTAGTAGCGTGTGGGAGCTGAAGGACGGTCCCAGATCAGTAGCGTGTGGAACCTGAAGGATGGTCCCAGATTAATAGTGTGTGGGACAGAAGGATGCGTGAAGCAAGTCTACAAATTCGGGACAGGTGAAAGCAGAAGAAGAGTTTGTTTCCATGTGTTCCACGAGCAGTGCACAGCTTCATCCAGCCTTCAGGACCCACGCGCTGCTGACCTGGGACCATCCTTCAGGTGCCACACGCTACTAATCTGGGACCATCCTTCAGGTCCCACACACTACTATAACCTGACAGGAAAGATTCTAGGTGATATCAAGTAGAGTGGAGGGCATGAATCAGGGAACATGTTGAGGCAGATGCGATGCGCACATCGTCGATGGGGGGAGTGTACAGATCGGCCTCTGAGAGGCTTTTGAAGTAATAAGATGAGTTTTCTGTGATGACAGCGCGGCACTGGCTCCCTCATGGGGAGGGTATGGTGTGTGAAGAGCACTGCGTTCGAGGAGGAGGAGGAAGGAAGGGTGAGAGAGGAAACAAAACACTCACACACACGACCAGACTCCAACGCAGAGAACTCGACCGGTACGATGAGGACGCCCAGAGAAGAGCACCAGCAGTGACGCAATGTCGAAATCACACTCAATGTCTAAAAACTGGGTACAGCACAAGACGATGTCTCACCCGTGTGTGAGACTGGTACATATACCTGGGAAAAGCCTAGCGGCTAGGCTGGCCTCAGGGGTATGTACGGAAATCGTGGGTACCAGAAGGGTACCGGTAAAAGTCTCGAAGGGAGAGAAACGAAAACTGTGTCGGTACCGAGGGCATAGCAGGAAAAAAATAACTGTCCAGTACCACGCAAACAAAAGGCTGCAACAGGGATCGAGCCCTGGCCCAGATCCGTAACAGGGTGGTAATGGTGGCTGGCCTTCCAAGGATATGATGTTATCCCGAGGTCTAGAAAGCGTAGAAAGTGGCCTGCAAAAGGCTGCAACCAATCTTGCACCGCCTGCCTGTCAACAAAAGGCCTGCGTGGGGAGGGGTGACCTACAGTATTTCAGGTCGGCCAATCTCCAAATCACCACGCATCTGCCTGCAAGATACTATGCCAAACAAACAAAAAGATGGGCTATACGCGAAGAGTCCGAACAAAAAACAGAGTCAATTCACATTCTGTACTATGATATCAATCAACCCTGATCCTCATTTACAATTACCAAATGGTGGTTAGCAGGATTGATTCTGTGATGCAGATTCGGACGAGCGGAGATCAAGGTCAGAGGCATGGTCATTGTAGCTGTATTTGGTGCAACTTTCGGACTAGATGCAGAATCAGACGAGCGGAGATCAAGGTCAGAGGCATGGTAGCACGGGCTCAGTTATTTCATGACAGGGCTACCGTCTTCACCACCCGAATAGAAGGCCCGGTCATTGTAGCAGTATTTGGTGCAACTTTCGGACTAGATGCCGCGATAATGACCGTGCGGTCGTTCTATTAGGGTGAAGACAGTAGGTTACCACCACCGAATAGAACGCCCAGTCATTGTAGCTGTATTTGGTGCAACTTTCAGACCAGATACAGCGATAATGACCAGGCGTGTTCTATTCTGGCGAAGACGGGCGTTTTATTCGGTTGAAGCCAGTAGATTACCAGCCTGGATGTTCGGACCCTCCTGGCAGTCCACGATGTCCCCAGCCGGACATCCGGTGCAAAACCACCCACCCACCTGGAGGGGGCCCTCTTGACTGTCCGGGATGCCTGGCTGGACATCTCATCTGGACACCCGCCCGGAAGGGGGCTCCCTGGCTGTCCGCGGTGTTCCAGCCCGACATTTGGTCTGGATATCCCCCTGAAGGGGGGTGGGTACTCTACTCCTCATCCTTGCTGAATGGCCTTAGGAGGGGGCCCCTCCTGGCTGTCCGGGATGTCCGGCTGGACAACTGATCCCGGCATCCGCCCAGGAGTGAGGCCTCCTGTCTGT